AAAATATTACTTTCAATATCGCCTAAAATGAAACATAATCTTGAATGAAATAGTCTAACTATAATATTTAGAATATCTTTGTGAGCTGTTTTCTTGAAAATTCCGATAGAACTTTCTCTTATTTTCGACAACTTATCATAATATAATAATATTATAAATAATTCTAGTCTCCTACATTTCCTTATGATAGCTATTTTACGCTTATAATGCTACTGCATATGTTTTGGACTTCCAATAGACTTAGATAGCAGTGTGAAGGGACTTAAAAGTGCTTCCTTTTATTAAAAATGTTAAGAACTATTAAATTTTCTACGAATTATTGTATCTAATAAGCCGTTATGAGGTTAAGTTTTGAAACTCTCCCGATCGTATCTAAAATATTTAAAACAGATGAATTTAATTACAGTATAAGAATTCATACATAATAGTTGAGTCAATTTTTATCCATATTATAATAGACTAAAATACTTTAACAATATTAAAATGTAGTAAGTATCTCATTATTCCTTAAGTTATTTCTAATGTTATCAGTATAATGTTTATTATATTCTAGAGGAAAAAATAATGGACTTATAATCACATTAATAGAATAAGAGACTTTTCTTCAAAATATTTCCTTAGGATACTATCTAGTAATTTTTAAGGGTAAAGACATTAGTCGAAATTTTCCGAACGTCTTTAGTTTCTAACTGAAGCAGCAACATTTTTTGTGTTAATCGTTTTTTTTTTAGTATGTTTTTGTGGCTATGTTTTCTTAAGAAAATCATGTCATAACTTGGTAATTTTGTCAATGCGTGTAAATTATTGTTAATGTTTGTACTTTTTGGCTTTTTAACTTTTTGTTAAATTACATTATGAGAGTTTAAATAGCCTCTTTGATAAGTATACGTACGCCTACATATCATATTCTATAAAAATTATTAGGGTTTGGCTGAAATTGCTCCAAAATGGTAGAAGGCAGAAAAAAGAGGGTAAAAGGTAAAAAAAAAAAATTCGTGGGGGCAGTGGAAATCCTGTAAAAGGTTTGAGGGGGTTGAGAGAAGTAGTAAAGTGTTGGGACAAAAATCATGATGAGTTAAAATAAGCGAAAAAATAAAGGAACTTCACCCAATTTTGTAGTGGTTATTAAAGGTTTGTGGGATGTGAAATGCCCCACCTAGTAAACTATATAATGTAGGAAGACATTCACACACACAAATACACACACACACACACTAGCATACACATACATACACTAGTGGTGATACGCGTTCCTGGCGGCTCCACGTGCAAATCCCCCATTTCCAGTATAAAATTCATTAGTAAAAGTAAAAAGTTCTTTTTTTCATTTCACAATCTTTTGTTGAACATAAGTCTTATTCAGAAAGTTCACATGCCTAAATTTTACCAAGAATATTAAAACATCATGATTTTTATAGCCTGAGCAATACTATTAAAAAATTAATTTTTTATCATAAGTTATCTTTGCGCTCTCTGCGTGCCATTACTATTACTAATACTTGTGTAATGCAAATTGAAAATACTATACCTTCTATTTTTGAATATTCAAACATAATATAACTTAATGTACTATTTAAATTTTCCCCCTTATCCACTACCTTCTTTTGAGAAGTTTTTTATTAATAATAAAATGTATTCTTATTCAAACAGAAATTAATAAAATAGAAGGAACACAAATTACATGTTTTGTACAGTAGGGAGAGGTATTGATCAATAAAGAAGTAACAGACATCTAAAAAAAATTCTTATATATCTATAAAGAAAGGTGGTGTATAAGCCTATCATGTGACTATCATAAAGAAATCTCACAGAAACCATAAGTTAACTAAGAGGATGTGTAGGTGCTGTAGGGGTAAGTATTCTTTAATGACCCTATGATAAAGTATCATTACAATATGTACTAAGAAATACGTGAATAAGTGCTGTGGGATGAAAAAATAACCTAATATGCACCCTTCTCTTGAATAATTTATTTGAAACAAAATTATTAAAACAGTTTCTTGAAATATTTTAAGTTTCTGTAGGGGGTAGTAGAAAGGTCGTAGAGGCTAATAAATTCACTTGGTGGGCTGTGGGAGGGGGGGGGGGTAGTGGGAGAATGGGGTGTTTAAACAATGTTTGTTAGGTTGAATTAGTTAAGAAATAAAAAGAATTTTCTCGATTAGTGAGAGAGGTTAAGAAGGGCTGTGAAGGAACCATGGAGGGTGTATGAGATGTTTAGACTGACCTACCAAAATAACATTACAATATAGGAATACATTTGTGTAAATAAGCTTATTTGGATGCTTAGAGCACTAATCTTTTATTTTCAAATAACGATGCATAGATTCTAAAGAAGCCCCTTGTGGTTTTCCTCTGGGTCGATTGATTAAAGTCTATTATAATTAATTCAGTTTTTTTATCATTATAATTAATTACAATTTATTACGTCAATCATTATTATTATTAATGTGAATATATATTGTAGGTCATGATTTTCACCAAGTAGCAGCAGTATAAAAAGATGCCATATATATAGATATATAGAGCTATAGCTGCTGCAGCGAATTGTCGTATGCCTAAGTTTCAAAGCAGTGCGGTGAAAAGGCGAGAGAGAGTATCTATGTTGTTGTTGTTTATCAGACGTTGTCATTCTTCTTAGTACCATCAGCCAATTTGTTAACGATGGTTTTCTCTGCATTAGCATATCTAGCCCATAGCTACAGGTATACAAGCCTGCGTTCACTTGCTCGCTCGTTTCATGTGTTAACTCTCATATAAAGCGAGCAAAAAGAAGTTTGACTTCAAAACAGAACCAGCCCATTAAAGGGGAAATTAAAATCTCCCAAAGTTTTTTACAATAAATAAAAAAAGTTGTTGGGGACTTGAACCCTCTCTTTGACGCTTTGACATTGCGCAGGCTTTTTCTGCCCCATTTAATCGTAGCCTTTAGTATCTATGTAACAAATAACTACATCTAAACTATGATTGTATATACGAACCTGTACCCCTTTTTTCCGTAGAAGTATAGGTGTAATGGACTTGTGATAAGAACATTGTAATGTGTGGAATCCTATTAACATGATACTGGGGCTGCAACATGTTACTTTTTTTCCGTACATCAGCCTTCAATATAACGTAGGGCCGTGAAACAAAAAAAGTTATATAGTACCATCTCTGATAAATTATGTTAGAAAAAGACTTCCACAACAAATACAAATAGTAACATGGAAAGTAACTTTTTCTTCTGACACTGTGTTGTTCCTCTGGCTTTTACCATCCCACGTAATTGTGGCCTTCAGGATGTAACATGTTTATTGAGGAAGTAACTTCAACGTTTCTGGATGGTTAATAGAGTAGCTACATTTTCTTTTACTTTTGATATCTTAGTAGCAGTAAGTTGTTAGCTTTACAAGATAAAAAATGAACAGTAGAGCATATTTGATGCACTTTTAGTATATTAATATTTTATCTCAACAACTAAAACATGGAAGTTACTGTTTGGTTCTTAGTCAGTAGATTCAAAAATGTACACGAACACTTACAACAACAAAACCAAAGGGTTATTTTTATCGTGCCTTACGGAAGTACAAAGATTTAACGTTTTAGATAAGTAAACAAAATATATACTTATAACATTGAGAACTTACGCTGACAGTTAGCATAAATCATAATAATAATAAATATATATTTTTAGAGCTTTACTCCTCTGTGTGTTTCAAGCTTCAACCCCAACTTCTCCAACTTAAAAAAAAGTCTTCACATTTATTATATATTCTATAAAAATTATTAGGGTTTGGCTGAAATTGCTCCAAAATGGTAGAAGGCAGAAAAAAGAGGGTAAAAGGTAAAAAAAAAAAATTCGTGGGGGCAGTGGAAATCCTGTAAAAGGTTTGAGGGGGTTGAGAGAAGTAGTAAAGTGTTGGGACAAAAATCATGATGAGTTAAAATAAGCGAAAAAATAAAGGAACTTCACCCAATTTTGTAGTGGTTATTAAAGGTTTGTGGGATGTGAAATGCCCCACCTAGTAAACTATATAATGTAGGAAGACATTCACACACACAAATACACACACACACACACTAGCATACACATACATACACTAGTGGTGATACGCGTTCNAGCAGCTAATAATTTTTTTTTTTTCTGTTAATTTAAACCAGGATTTATATAGCCTCGGAATTCCCACAAAATAACTACAAAAAGTAAAAGGATCAAGTACTTTATTATTATCAAAAAGAGTCAAAGAGGTGCGTTAAACTTAACCGTTCATAGCCAAGGATCTACCTTTCACTCTCAACCAACTCTCTTACTAGGTGTTTACCGACTATCCCTCACTTTTAGCGTCTATCTCTTTATCTTCCCAGATCTTTTATCCTTCAGGGCACAAACTAGAAGAGGTACACGGACACAGAGATATCTGCGATCTTACGTGACACGTCGTCATCCCTGATGGCCATCATTTTTTCGTTTCTAATAGTGCTATGTATGCGCCGATTTGTTTGTGCTGTATTTATCAAATTTGTTCAGAATAAAAATGACGGGTTCTCTTGCATAACTTCTTTTTATCCTACTGACCTCTTACACTGTGTAGTCAGTGTGACACACATGCTTGTGATGCAATTTTCTCTCATATGATTGTTTGGATCTTGAAGATGTTTTCTGCTCTATTTGTTACATAATACTGTTTTCTGTAAATATTTTTTATTTTTTTCCTTTGACGTACACAAAGACAGTATACAATTATAGAAAGAAAAGTGTTAAGCTTTCATTTATGTTGTGTCTGTTTAATAGTACATAATTCTTTACTAACTATCCATTTTTTTCATACAAATTTTTTTGATTTACATATTTATGCATTGTTCAACTGATAAGGATAAGAAAAAACTTATATTATCATTATCTTTAAATAAACATTTTCTTTTAAGATGCAGTTTTTTATCACTTTTCTTGATTCACCAATTACAGTCAAATGTTTGTTCGTTTATTTATTTATTACCTTTTTTTCACATATTCATTTTACCATTTATAGTTAAATAATACGTCCAAAAATAATATGTCCGAGATATCCACATTAGAAATATTTGCAAGGATCAACCCATCCGTAGTGCAATAGATGGATTTGACCTCGGAGAAACCACCTTGTTCATCACGGTTATCTCTACGCCAGGTAAGTATATAGTTTTTAGGGCAAAACACAAAATAAAATCGTTTCTCTCTTATCAACCGTTCATTTTATTTGTTAATCATGTATGTATATATTTTGCTAGAAAAGGCACATATTTTTTTTGCTTGTGTACACAAGTATTACTTATGCTTAAGTGTTAAGTTCTAGTATTTAATTCAAGTTACATATTTATTTCCTATGCTGGTCTCTATTGTTAGTTCCCATAACGTGGCTAATGTTCTTGCAGTTAATTGCTTTGCATTGGGATAAAAGTTTTCTGCAGCCTTATAGAATTTATTGTACATTTATTCCTCGTTACATTATTTCTGCTTTCTTTACCTGTAACCACCGTTCTAGCCAAGTTTAGTACTAAAGGACCCCCATTTTAGGAATCTGAACGACTCTGCTGCTGTGTCTAGTGCTATTGCTGCCGCTATCTAGAAGTATTCTCCCCAGTTAGAAAACTTTTTCTTTATTTGATCTACCTCTCGAACGCATTAGATTATATGTGTTAGTTTTGTACCCGTTCGTAACGTATTCTTGGGTCTGTGCTTTTTACTACCAAGCTCTTGCAATCCATCTTGGTTGAAAATTATTTTTATAAGACTTAACATTTTATTCCCTTTCACCCCGCTCTCCCTTTACATTTTTTTTAAGTTTAGATTTAAGCCTTCCTAATAAACTACCTGGCTTTCACTTTCCTCTTGATACGGTTCCAGTCTTATTTCTGACGTTTGAGATGTGCAGTCTCTTGCCAGTTCTATAACTCTGGTGAGCGTTGCGCTTAGCGTCGCATGGTTGGTGTGCTTGCACTGCATGTGTAATTTTTCTTCCCTTATGGTACATAACATACGTTGATTCCTTGTGTGCAGATAAGTCCAATACGCACCTCTTAATCTAGATAATACAATTGTGCACTTTCCCGACTTTTGTATGGTCTCTTCTAACATGAAGCGTGTCTTACAGAGGTGGTTCTTTTTCACCTCCAGCGTTGACTCTATTTAAGTACATAGATTTATTTTACGCAATTTCTTGCATTAGTTGACTACCTGGCACAACATTGTGAAAATCTTTTCTTGTTCGTGCTGCTCCCTACGTATTTGTATGCTGGCTGTAAATGAGCTACGTCATTCATCACATTAATCTCCTTCATTTCCAGTGGTAGTGCTAAACTTTAGAAGAGTTTTGAATATTGTTCTATTGCTGATGATTTTTTGATAAAATACAAATCCCTTCTACTGAGCATTATGGTTGCTATTACTGCTGTTTCCACTATTTTCTATTCTGTCCTTCAGTTTACGTCTTCTGGGATTCTGAGACTTGTTCGGAACTGCTTGACCAATATTTCTGCTTCTTATATTTCTTTTAATGCTACTTGCTATAAATTTAATATTTCTTTACTTGCTAAATATACTATGTCTGATGCCATTTTTAATTTTGCCGCTAGATCTTTAGCCAGTTGCTCGAATTCCATGATTATCCCTGATACTCGGTTATAACTGCTTATCCAAGCTTAAAACATTTTGAGCTTCTCTTCCGCTATTCTTCCTTCCTTACTTTAAAAACCCTTTATATTTTTAAGTATTTATTAATGATCACCGAACGTTACGCTTCTTATTTGCTCTTTTAAGTATTTAATTGTATCGATTGTGTCTGACTAGTCTGTTTCCATCAACTCCTGTATTTTATTCTTATTAGACTATGATACCTGCTCCTGGGGTACTTTATTGTTCCTACCTAGATGTGAACTTTATATTACACTACCGCTCTACATGCTTCCTCAACATTCTTCAGTACCACAGAAACCCTATGAGTAGCATTTCTTGTCCGTTTAACGCATTCGCTTCTCTTCTTGTCGTCACCTGACTGTCTTAAGTTACTTGCCTATATGCTTGCATGAATGCATTTTTTTCCCCAAACAATTGATTCCTATTTACATTCGTTTTAATTATTCATAAAGACACAACTGACTGGACAGGTTCCAAATTTTTTACTCATATTTCCGCATTTTTCTCGAATAGCTCTAGTTTTCCCAGTTGCTTTCTGACTGGTGCGATTCTTACCCTACAACATAAAATATACGTTTTTCTATGATTCTTACATTTTTTCCTTGTATATTTTTTTCATATACACATGTATACCAAGGTTATTCGTTAATATGTTTCGCGATTTAAGCCATTCAGTCGTTAGATTTTGCGGAATTGCTTTAAATTACGAGTGTGGTCTTCTCCTTACATATATCGTTTTCTTAATGTGTTTCTATTTTTTTTGTTAACTGTATTTATTTTTAATGAAAGGACAAAATAGTACTAAAGAGAAGGTTATTACGCTTTGATCTAATAGTGCTATGTATGCGCCGATTTGTTTGTGCTGTATTTATCAAATTTGTTCAGAATAAAAATGACGGGTTCTCTTGCATAACTTCTTTTTATCCTACTGACCTCTTACACTGTGTAGTCAGTGTGACACACATGCNAAACGTTGTTATGCAAAGTAACAATTTGACATTTTACACCCCTTTGAAACCAGTGTTGAAGCATAAATCATACTTAAATTGGTACTTAGTAGGTAAAATTTAGCGGGGAATCTTTTAGTTCTATCGAAACTTACGTATGATCTAAAATTTATAAGATAAGAATTAAATTCCAAAAAAAAATAAATGTTTAGTTAGAATTAGTTGGGTATTTAAATTCCTCGATGCTTGAAACGTGTTAATCCACAATATAAGGTGAGTCATATTAGGATTAATTTTTATAAACTCATGTCTAAAATAGTAAATTATTAAATGTATCGGATTAACATTTCGAATCAGTGACACGACATTCCGTGACCACGGAAGCTAACTTCAGTCAAGTAAATGGAATACCATGTATCCATACAGCTCCATATGTCAAATCAGGTGAATACAACAGCCAGCCAATAATAAAACAGAATGTAAAAAATGCATTCAATTTGTAAAATCTTTATCATTGCATTAGAATGAAGCAACATTATTGAAAGCAATGCTTCATCAGTTCCAACGACATACCCCAAAAGCTTGTTTCAGGCACCACGTAAATCCTATAGGCAAGGTGACTCCAACTGATGCAAAAATTCAACAGAACGACCATAAATATCTTATTAAATTACGTCTTCCAACATTAGACGACAGACAATCGTTTGGTAGTCATTTTCTTGGTACAAACACTGGCAAATAAAAGTTTTGCCAGTACCCTGCCGATATCTCTGCTAAGCTTGACTCGTGGGACAAGATCGAAGTTTCTCGCGAAGGAACCGTTGAATAACTACTCCTTTGTAAGGGATACCGCCAACTAATATGATTTTCACCAGTGCATAGCTGATATCTCTGGTAAGCTTGACTCGTGGGCCCAGATCGAAGTTTCCCGCGCGAAAAACGTTGATAAACTGCTACTTTGTGAGGAATGCTGTCTTATAATATAAGTTTTACCAGTGCATAGCTGATATCTGTGGTAAGCTTGACTCGTAGGCAAAGATCGTAGTTTCCCGCTCAGGAAACATTGATTACTGCTTAGTCTGTGAAGACCATGGTAACGCGACTAGTTAATGTGGAAATTGATTAGAGCGGCTGCTAGTATTATCAATCGTAAAAGTTTGATTTGAGGTGAAATGTCAAAATTTTCTGACCAGCAGCTACCGAGCCGATTTCAAAGTTTCTTGTGCGGGAATCTTATATAACTCGTTTTTTTCTGTTCATTTGCGATAAACAGTGCTAGGCGACACTCGTTGTGTCATAAAGTTATCAAATTGGCAGGTGATACCTCGAAAGGCTCATTACAGCTTGACTTGAGGGTTTCACCACAGTTTGACAAATGGAAGTTGATCGATTGACTATTTTAATAGAAATAAACCTAACAAAAAAGAGTTTCGCAAGTACCCTGCCGGTATCTCTGGTAAGCTTAATTTGTGGGTCAAAGTTCCCTGCACGGTAATTTTTAATAATATTTTACTTTTAATGGTACACAGTAGGTGTATTTTACTTGACGAGGTTTTTTTGAATCTTGACTTTTATAATTTACGGATGAGCAATTAATCGACATTTATTAAGAATAACATGTTTACAATATTTAATATTTTCGAAAAATATATTTTGCACGGACATTTTTTGCCATCAACCACTATTGTTTCGTCGCATATTTTTAATTTCTCACGCCCCTGTATTGTATTGGTGTAAAATGTTATTGTATCTTGCGGCTGCCTATTACATCAGTTTTTTTAAAAACAATGTACTATGAGCAGCAGATGCAGGCCGATGTTGCACCTATCTCATTTATTTATACAATGTCATGTTGTCATGTCATGTTGATCGCCGTTTGTTTAAAAAAAAGGTTTGATCAGCAACGGGATCGGCCTGAAGTTGCATCTTTCCGTTGTTACTTCTCGAGAAGCAGTACGTTGAAAGGATCCTGAGCCTTAACCCCCTTGCTTGCAATCTTTTAATACGATCTTGCATGTTTGTAATCAGCGTGCCGTCATCAAAACTTTTTTGTCTTTGTAACATAGTTTTATTTGTCTCTCTTGATCTAATACGCGGTCAGTTATTTGGTCAGAAATGGTTAATTCTGAGGTGACTTGGCTTGGGCTTTGCTCAGGAAGGAACGCAGAAAAGTTAACAGCTACGACGTCACTTAATTAAGCGTGGTCGATCCATTGATATTTGTAACAGTGATACAGAAAGGGGGAGATAAGTCGTGCGGCTAGCGTACGAAAAGTCAATTGCCAAGGTTAAAGGCGCTGGTGCGTTAGCCTTGACTACTTTAAGTGTATAAGTAACGCATCAACTTCATTGTAAAGTAATTTAGATATAAGAAGTGCATAAGTGTCATTGATACCGTTTTTGCTTCGCGGCTTAAGGGTAATTTTTCTACCAAAAACGTTACCGTTGAATGGATATTAAAGTACTTTTTATTGAATAGTAATTTTTTAAATATTTTAGTATTGTATCGCCAACTATACCGTTGTCATCGTGTGTAAATCCTAACCAGCATACGTC